TGTGAGAAAGTGAATTGCTACAACAGTTCAGACTTAGAACATGTTGGACGTGGGATTCTGTGCTCATCATCTACAGATTATTGGCTGCTTTTTATAAATTTGGCATCCCTTCTTCTAGCAATACCATCAACAATAATTTTTGGAACATGGAGTGAAACAGAAGGACGTAAAATTGTGCTTGTTGCCTCTCTGTTAGGCATTGCATTACGCGTGGCTCTAGTTTTTATCATCATTCACTTTCAGGAGCCACTTTATTTTTTTGTAATTGTGAGTCTAATGACAAGTGCACTGGGTTATAGCACCAGTCTAATGTCATCTTGTATGGCTTATGTTGCTGACATTACAAGCAGAGGACAAAGAACCTTCAGAATACTTTTCCTGGACAGTGCTGCTGGTATTGGAATTGGCTTAGCCTACTTTGTTTGTGGTTTCTACTTAGAACGTGTTTGGTTTTATCATTTGCTCTGGCTTGGTATAGCTGCCTGCATCATGAATATTATATACATTGTGTTTTACTTGGAGGAAAGCCTTCTCCTTCCTGGTTTCTATGGGTCAAGTACAATATTTAGTTGTCAGGACTTTCTCGAAATTTGCAGAGTATTTACACATGAGCCTGGAAATGGACGTAGGTGGCGCTTACTTACCTATGTCGCTTCCTTTGTAGTTGCAGGAATAATTTTTACAGGAACAAACAGTCTATTAATTTTACATGCCCAAACTTCACTTTGTTTTTCAATGGTTTTGACTGGCTATTTAGCTGGAGCTCTTTGTTTACGCTATATATCAAGTTTGGTCAGTGTCAAACTGTTTCAAAGTGTTCTAAAAGCTTCAAATAATTGGATCATTGAGGCTGGACTAGTGTCCTTATTCGCTGGCTTGATTTTAGCCTCATTAAACACTTCAACTCGCTTAACTTTTAATGGTAAGTTCAAACTGCTATTAATTTTTTTTCACATTTTAAGTAAACATAACAGTTTTTGGTCAACTCCTTTGTCAGGGGTGGATCTAGGGGGAGGGTGTGCACCCCCCCCCCCCTGAGATGACCTGTGGTTTTCTAATGCAATAGGTATTCTGCAAAAAAAAAAACTATGTGGTTTATTGGTGTTGAAGTAGAGCAAGAGACGAGTGCACCCCCTCCTAAAAGAAATCCTGGATCTGCCCCTGTTTGTATTGACCTGCAGTCAAGATGAAGAAAAATAATTTAATATGCTTATGACACATTTTGACTTTAACCCTTTAAGTCCCAATAGTGCTCAAAACCAATTTTCTCCTAACAATATCCATAGACTATCATGAGCAAAGTCTATGAGAATTAACAAAATGATCACAAAGAGAAAAATATTTGATCTTTTGTCAAATTCTCTCAACTAATTCTTCAAGGAAATGTATGGAGATCAGTTTGAAGAATTTGTATGTGGATATTTAACAGTTAATGAATGAGGCTGAGTATCTTATGAGGAATTATGGAGATCGAGGAGGGTGTTATCCGTCTAGGCCGTAGGCCGAGGCAGATAACACCCTCCGAGATCTCCATAATTCTTCATATGATACGAAAGCCGAATTCAATAACTGTTTTATTATTCATTCAAAATAATTCCTAGTTTAAAAACATAGCTAAAACATGCTTACCTCTATCGATCCATCGATGTTCAGTTCATCGTCGATAGTGTACGTTTAGGTTTGTCCAGCTCCACAAATATTCTCCAGATAGCAGATGTCGCCCTTCGAGTTGTCTTCTTGCTGTTCTTGCCATGTTTTTAGCTATTTTTTCGCCTACTTATTACTCTTGAAAAGAGTGAAATGTCCGCCATTTTTTCAAATTCACAACCAAAACAACTCAACCTCGTCCCCAGGTCTTCTCGGTTAACGGTGCCTTAACCTACGAAAACGCTGCATTTTTGACGTCATTTCCTCGTTAAAGTCAAATTTCTTCCAAATTTGGTCATCAGTAACTGGTTATGGTGAATTAAACATGTGCTTTTAGCCAATCAGAATCGGGGAAATATTTTGAATGAATAATAATGGGACTTAAAGGGTTAAATTCAGTGAGAGGGTCATAAGACCTAAGGAGTGCACCCACCCCTCCCTTGCTAAAAAATAGGTTCATGAAGACATACTGGACTCTTAGAGCATTCTGGGGGAAGAAATTAAAGCTCTTTTTGTGAATAAAAGATTTTAAGGCTTGTTTTGGAACATAAAAGCATTGCCAGCACTAATTGTCACAATTGGGAACAAATACATCAAAGTTAGGACTAATGGTACTGTAGCCCTTGATTAAACTACGTAAGTAAAAGGACATACTAGACACTTTGTTGTAAGGTTAATTCTCAATTTGAACACTCAACGGTGAGGGTAACAAAAAAGTGGAAATCCAAACAAGAAAGTGTGAGAAGACTGTAGTTGGAAGGATAAGGGAACTTGGTGATGAAAAAAAAAATAGTAATAATGAAAAAATTGCCATTATAAAATTTATTTTATATTCTTCTATTTTTCCTTTATTCTCAGTGCCTGCCCTTCAGTTATTGGGTGTCTTGCCTCAATCAGTTATGAAAGCCACTTTATCTAAGCTAGTTGAACCTCAGGAACAAGGTAATAACCAACTCAAAATAAAGTAAGACACTCCTAGCTACATAATGAATTATAATTGTACTAGTAGGCTTACCCTATTTACTTGAATAGGCCCCTGTCACTGATAAGGCGCCTAGGTCCCGATGCAATCAAAATCAAAAGACATTTCTGTTAGTTACTGAAAATAATAATAATAGTGATGTTAACAATATATTCTTTGTCACATCCAACTTTCAAATAAATGCTGCTCTCAAATAAGTGTTGCTGTTGAAAAGCACCACATTAGATGCATGAAAAATTTAAAAAGTGCGGCAGCACTTATTTGGAGAAATATGGTACACCCAGGTGGAGGCTTACAAAATGACTCAATATAAGAAAATTCAATTTGAAACAGGCTGATAGCAAAATGTACCTTATTTTATGCACATTGAAAAATTCAAAGTACCGGTTTTACTGGTAACTGCAACTGGAGCATACTAAGCAAGACATGTACAGATAAGGCCTAGGTGCCTTTAATCAAGAGGGCTATATGTGTAAGTGGGGGCCTCGGGGTTTTATTTAGCGTTTTTATATATTTTTTTCCATGACAATTCATTGAGTTGCACATTAAGCAACTCGGCTGGATGTTGAACTTATTTTATTTTTTCCTTACATTTTTATGAAAATGACTTACACATGGTGCATCAAAACTTGTAACTAACATGCAGATTTTTACATAATTTTCCAGGTATCCTGTTTGCAATTTTAGCTTGTTTGGAGAGTGCATCGAATGTCTTTGGAGTGTTTCTTTTCAGGCGCATATATGATGTCATGCCACTTTCTCGTTTGTCGTTTGTTATTGGGGCTCTTTTACTGATTGTTCCTGCTGTACTTGTTGGGTAAGTGTAATGTTATGATGTAAAGGCCATGTTCTCAAGCTGCGTTTCCCCACATATAAACTTTGCCTCAGTTGTTCAAAGGCTGGATAGCACTATCCATTCAAAAAATAACAAGATCGCTCTTAATATTGGAGTTAAGTCTCGCTTGCTTGGAGATTAGATAAGAAATGAGGAGGCGATTAATTCTAGACGAGACAGGATTTACGCCCTAAAGGTTTTTTAACTTCCTACTTTATCAACGGTTTGAAAATGGTGTAACATATACAGTCGACTACCGATAACTCGAACCCTCGCCAACTCGAACCTTGCGCTAACTTGAACCAAAATCGATTTCCCCTGGATTTCCGTCATACATTCACTGTAATTTTACCCTCGGTAACTCAAACCCTCGATAACTCGAACTGCCGCTAACTCGAACCAATTTTCGTTTCCCCTCGGGTCATTTTCTATATAATTTTACCCTCGATAACTCGAACCATGTTTTGAGCCCTTAAAAAGTCGGGGAAAAAGCCGGGTGTCCGAAACATTGAATTTTGGATTTCCTATTGACGTGTTGTAGGAGTATAGTTTACTAGTGGAGGAGGCTGATGTTGATTGTCACAGGCTAATGTGATGCAGCTTTTCTTCTCAAAACAGTAAAACGCATGCTCTATTTAGGCTATGTTTTGTTACGTTACCTTCTGATTTATAATCTAGAAGTATCTTTTAATTTTCACTTGACATTTCTACAATTAAATGTGATTAAAATGTTCACTGTGCAGTAAAAACTGTTTTTTACCTTACTCTCGGCTATTTTCTTTGGGATATTTTCTTTGGGATCCTGATAACTTGAACTCTCGATAACTTGAACCTTTTTTCGATTTCCCTTGAAGGTTCGAGTTATTGGGAGTCTACTGTATGTACAAAAGCAGTGATTTTGTTACAAATAGTTATGGTGAGTCCTGGGACCCATCTTGTGAAAAATCATGAGTCCCAGTCCAGATCCATTGAGTCTCAGTTAAAAAAAACAATGAGTTCCTGGGTCTTTTGAAACCACACATTTACTCTGAGGACAGACTCCAAAACTCTTTATTACAGTTTACTGAAATAAAAATATACTCCTTCTATTGCAAAGCACAACCAAGACTAAAAGAAATAGGCGTTGTTTAACGACAGCCATAGACAACACACAAACAGGATATTCTACAATAACATCTTCAGATCAATCAATAGATCTTTGCATCCTGTGGGACGCATACCACAAATTATTTTGTGTCTTTGGGATTTTATTCATTAGGGACACAGGATGTAGAGGTAACAAAATCACTGCAATGGTCTCCACATCCAATGTATAAACGGTATAATAATATTTATTATTTTTTTACTGTTTGCTCTTTCAGGTTTGTTCAGAAAAATGAGAGTCCCACTACAGAAATTCTTCTTTTTTCTAACGAGAGGTCTTCAGAGTCTGATTTTGGACGGCAGTGCACCATAAGCAGCAGACCTAATCACTTTCCTGTGTTGAACTCAGCAGATCTTAATGGTTATGATTATATTCCTAGTGGTGAAATGTAAATTGAGAAGAGTTATGCTGTCCAGGCAGTTTTAGTTAGGGGTGAAGTGGGGAGGGGGGTGGGGGTGTGTTGAGGCCTGTAGAGTTAATTCAGATTGCAGTGCATAGGTTACAGATAGCATTTAAGGATCAGATTTGGGAACAGGTGAGAAATCCTTCAAATTTTTCCCTTTCAAAATCAAGGATGGCAGCTGCATAAATGCTGAGTGTTCACTTGTGTGAAAAATATACATACAGCACAGGCTGAGTACAGGGCTCAAACACACACCTTTCTATGCCCATTTGGTTAACTGTGGCATCTTTGGCTGTTACTTTGTTTAGTTTTTTAAGCAAACAAAAATAACTGTTATGTAAATGGTGACTGGGCAGTGCTGGCACTGATTAAACAAAAATTTATTTTTTACTTTTTTAAGGTAAATGCTTTAAGAAATTGTGTATGCTGTTTATTAGCTAAAATAATAAGATTTTTATCATTTGAGTTTCTACCAAGTTGCATGTCTATGAAGCTCTTAATGCTTCAGCAAAAAACAAATTTTATTTATTTAAAGGTTTTAGCTACTAGAGGGAGTGAGACATTTCCGTACAAGCATCACCCAAAAACAAAGAAAGCAAAGGAAAAAAATTTGAACCAAAAATAAAAATGGACCAAGTGTTTTCCACTTGTTCCATGCTTGTCAACTACAAATGTAAGTGGTCACCTTGGGAAAAGTGACAGCTTAAAACAAGTTTATTGTTGGATACAGGCTCAAACAGACTAAAAGTTCATCATTGAAATATTAATAAACTCTTTCACTCTTAGACCGATTTATGGTAACATGATTTGCCATTAAATTAACTTTTAAATCTTTGGATGAAATCATATAATGTTTCCATTCAATTAAAACCTCTCTGGCAGATCTCTTACATAATACTATTTATTTCTTATTTATACCTGTTTTTGGAAATTTTTGCTTTGGTGACCTTTACAAGTGAAAAGTTTAGGATGGCAGCAAGGAGTGGTATTTCAGTTCTGATGAGATAGATTAATATTCAAGGGTTTTCTGTTTTTCTTTTGCCAAAAGGAAATCAAGGACATAACTGATCTTGACAGGCCAAAAAATTGTGGTCAGAGCACTAGTCAACCTCGTTGACTAGTGAGGGTTCTCTCCTACCCGTCCCTATGGAGCGAGAGACTCAGAGAGACGGATGGGAGAGAGAACCTGGGAACAAGGTTGAGGAGTGGTATGGTTACCTCATTACAAAGTGACCAATAATTAATAGGTATAGGAGACAATAATTATTATCATAAAATAACGTGATATCCCTTATGCCTGGTCTGTTTCAGGAATATTGTTTCCTTCATGAACTGTTTAAAAATGGGGATTACTTTTATTGCCTTCGTGTTCATGTTTGAACTAACTTGTTATTTAGATGCGCACAGTTGTGGTTCAAATTTTTTTCCCTTTGTTTTTGGGTATGGTAATGTATGATTATTGAGAAACAGGAGGATAAAATAACAACCAAGGATTAAATTAAACCACATCATACGCCATTGATGATGGCACAACTTATTATTAGAAATTCCATTATGTATTGCTAGTTTCCCGACGTTTTCTTTAATAAAAAAAAGGTCTTGTCCGCTAGGTGTGTTACGGGGATACAGTAACGTCTTAGTCACTCCAAGTCGCGACTGTGCTTAATCAAGTATAAAAGTTGCTGACGGTGTGAAAGTGAAACATGGAGGCAAGGCAGAAAATAGTATGTAATAATAAAATAGATTTAAAAAAAAATGAATAAGAAATTGGAAATAAAGGATGATGCATGAGATAAAAACAATGACCATTTACTTCTACAATAGTTTTTACAATGGATATTGTTTGTGTCATGTCCCTTGTGTGAATTTTTTCTTGCTTTTTTATTTTTTTTTTTTTATGTACGAACGAATCTTTGATCTCCAGGAAACTATTTATAGAACAGTATACTCAAAAAGAAAACATCAGAACGAGTTGCGCAGAATTGCCTCTTTATGCACGTGCACTCGTTGCGTGCCTATTTCTGATAGGCATACTAAACGCGCAACTTATTTTGTAACGTTGCAAAACGAGTTGAATAGCGATGTTGCCCGTTTTACCACCCACGAAAAAACCTTGCAACCTTATTTGTTGCAAGCAAGAGCTCATTCTTGTTGCAAGACAGCTTCGTATGTCGGTGGTAAAACACGCAACATCGCTATACAGCTCGTTTTGCCGCAATGTTGCAAAACAAGTTGCACGTTTTACCTTAAGGCTTTTTCTGATTGTCCATAATTTATGGCGAATCTGTTCGTTTATTACCTGCTGCATATGTATATACAGGCATGTGCATACTATCAGAAAGAGAAATCGCGTATAAAATGTGTGCGAGTGTCAGTTCCCGATTAAAAGCGATTCATAGTTATGCAAAGTCGTCAGATGATTCTTACCGATGGCATTTCTCAACGTGATTTTCTGAGTGAGTTTTCTTTTGAGGCTCCGTTTGTGGCCTTTCCAAAGGCTGAGGGCGAAGCTTTGGAAAATAAGAAAAAGTGAACGATCTACTGACGGAATTTGCAAGGACAACCGCGTTATAGCTTTCCCATAGCATTCGATTTTTCTCTCTTCTTATCTTTGCGTCTTCGATTCTTTTTTTCCTTTCGAAATCCTCTTTCTCTTTTCTCTCTTCCTCCTTTCTCCTTATCTCTTCTAAGCGTTTCCTCTTCATTTCCTCCTTCAGGTGACATGCTTCAATACTTTTCTTCTTTTTAATATCCTCCCTCTTTGCATAGAGTTGATCATCATACTCTTTCTCCTTTTCGTTCTTAAAGGCCAACGCACTCTTTACATTTGCAGCTTGTTCGTGAAAATTTAATCCCTTCAATTCCATTATCAATAACTCTGCTCTCCTCCTTTCGAGTTCAATTGCATCTTGTTGCTGTACTTGTTGGGTAAGTGTAATGTTATGATGTAAAGGCCATGTTCTCAAGCTGCGTTTCCCCACATATAAACTTTGCCTCAGTTGTTCAAAGGCTGGATAGCACTATCCATTCAAAAAATAACAAGAACGCTCTTAATATTGGAGTTAAGTCTCGCTTGCTTGGAGATTAGATAAGAAATGAGGAGGCGATTAATTCTAGACGAGACAGGATTTATGCCCTAAAGGTTTTTTAACTTCCTACTTTATCAACGGTCAAGTATTCTTCAGGATATTTACTTTTTATATCGTATTTGACGATTTGTTTCTGAATTCACCAGAGATACAACTGCTGTTGCAGGCTATACACGTGTATAATTACACTAAAATTGAAGGGCCTCGATTCGAGTTCGTGATGAGAACATGGCACATCATTTCACTCATCGGCAAAAATAAACTGCATGCTCATCACAAGACTCATTTGCATACAATAAAAGTTTACAACACCCATCCAGTTAGCCTTTGCTAATCAAGATTCTTCTTTTTTTTTGACCATTGAAGTGTTCACTTATTCCAAAGTTATCAACTCTTTCAAGCGAATTAGTGGACTGACCTGTTCTGGAAAAGCTCTAAATTGCATTTATTAATCTTTACTAAACTTTCTTCGCAAGACATGCGTGGCTTTGGTCACGCAATGATTCTTATTCCTAGTTTCCATGGTCTCTGCTAGGAACGCCTGGGACCCCAACCACCCTTTTGTGTCCTGAATACAAAGAAAAACGGCTTGCAGATTATGAGTCTCACAGCTTACTCAAGTGAGACTAAATGTTACTATCCAGAAGAAAAGTCTTAGGGAAAGCAAATGCCCCATCTGTTGGATAGAGATCAGATTTATCTGGTGGATAGTGTTATCCACCTTTTGAACAGCTAGACCCTTTAATGTAAGGATTTCCCAGTTTAGTTTGAAAATGGTGTAACATATACAGTCGACTACCGATAACTCGAACCCTCGCCAACTCGAACCTTGCGCTAACTTGAACCAAAATCGATTTCCCCTGGATTTCCGTCATACATTCACTGTAATTTTACCCTCGGTAACTCAAACCCTCGATAACTCGAACTGCCGCTAACTCGAACCAATTTTCGTTTCCCCTCGGGTCATTTTCTATATAATTTTACCCTCGATAACTCGAACCATGTTTTGAGCCCTTAAAAAGTCGGGGAAAAAGCCGGGTGTCCGAAACATTGAATTTTGGATTTCCTATTGACGTGTTGTAGGAGTATAGTTTACTAGTGGAGGAGGCTGATGTTGATTGTCACAGGCTAATGTGATGCAGCTTTTCTTCTCAAAACAGTAAAACGCATGCTCTATTTAGGCTATGTTTTGTTACGTTACCTTCTGATTTATAATCTAGAAGTATCTTTTAATTTTCACTTGACATTTCTACAATTAAATGTGATTAAAATGTTCACTGTGCAGTAAAAACTGTTTTTTACCTTACTCTCGGCTATTTTCTTTGGGATATTTTCTTTGGGATCCTGATAACTTGAACTCTCGATAACTTGAACCTTTTTTCGATTTCCCTTGAAGGTTCGAGTTATTGGGAGTCTACTGTATGTACAAAAGCAGTGATTTTGTTACAAATAGTTATGGTGAGTCCTGGGACCCATCTTGTGAAAAATCATGAGTCCCAGTCCAGATCCATTGAGTCTCAGTTAAAAAAAACAATGAGTTCCTGGGTCTTTTGAAACCACACATTTACTCTGAGGACAGACTCCAAAACTCTTTATTACAGTTTACTGAAATAAAAATATACTCCTTCTATTGCAAAGCACAACCAAGACTAAAAGAAATAGGCGTTGTTTAACGACAGCCATAGACAACACACAAACAGGATATTCTACAATAACATCTTCAGATCAATCAATAGATCTTTGCATCCTGTGGGACGCATACCACAAATTATTTTGTGTCTTTGGGATTTTATTCATTAGGGACACAGGATGTAGAGGTAACAAAATCACTGCAATGGTCTCCACATCCAATGTATAAACGGTATAATAATATTTATTATTTTTTTACTGTTTGCTCTTT